ACGCTACCTGATGCAAGAAGTCATTCGGTCATGTGCTACGAAGCATGATCCAAGAAGTCATGTGGAGAGACGCATCACAAATCATGGCATCATTGACCCAAGAAAACTAAGCTTCATGAAGTATTCCGAAGCCTGCCAAAAGAGAAAAACTATGAACGATTTGCCGTGCGGTCCGAGGCCTGGGCATAGTATCTAATAATAGAGAGAAAAATCACTAAGCAGACCATTCTGGTACGTCGAACAAAGGGAGGTTCATATATAGTTTGTGAACTAGACGGATCAGTCAATCACAATAAAATTGGAGCATTCAGAGTCATTCCGTATTTCGCAAGAGAAAGGATCGACTTACCTGAGCACTTCAGTACACTTATTGATGCAAGCAATGAGGAACTGGATGAAATTGAAAACACAGGCGTTGAAGAAAGACCTAACGCAAGAGATTACTACTTTGAAGGAGTTAATCTTGATGGGTCTTCCGCAGATGAATCCGGGGACTTAGAAGAAATCGAAGATTTAAGTGAAGAAGAGGCTTAGTAGACTTATGCTTTAAAATTGGCTAAAGTTTAATAAAACCTCCAGCAGTTTATAAACATAATGCACAAGCGCCTTCTAGATTTTCCATGCGTAGTCAACTATACATGCGGGCTCTAGGTGTCCGTCTACGAAAAAAAAGTTCGGATAGTTCTACTACTCCTTAGTTACTTCACGCTCAGCAATCTGGGCAAGGGCAATTTCGTAATCAGCGACAAGTACATCACGAAGACAAAGCTCCAAGTCGAGGCGCTGCATGCTGAGAAGAACGCGTTCATGAAGATCGACCTCTTGCTGCTTGAAATAAGCAAGGGTGGGATAAGCCGGCATGCGGTTGGTAACAGCAGCATGTGCGCGCGCTAAGATCTCCCTGTACAGAGGGTTGTCGATGAGCAAGGAGTTGGCAGACTCGTCTATAACAAAGGACGAGTGCGTTAGTTTACGATTTATGAAGATAAAAGATAAATACGAACTTTGACGAGACTGAAGATCTGCTAAACCACTAATAAAGGGTGGTTCAGTACGAGGGCATTTGTCGCCGGCGCAACTGCCTTTGGCATGCTCAACGACGAGGGCCTTGTGAAATTCGCGACTGTTAGTGTCCATGCCTGGAACAGTGTTGTAGGGAATGCTGACCGTTTCGGCACGCTTGGATTTGGCTGGGGTCTGTTATGTCCAAATAAAATATGAAGTTAACAACGTGGCAGTGGACTCACGCAATAATAGCAGCTTACCTTGGGACCAGAGGCAGCGCGCTTCTTGCCTTTCTCTTTGGGAGAGGAAGCGGCATCCTTGACTTCTTCGTCACCAAAGAGGTTGTCCACTGCCATCTGAGCAAAGCGGTACGCAATATTAAAATTGTGTTCTGCTCAAAAGAAAATAAAAAATAACGCACGGTGTCAGCTGCAGTGATAGCGTTGGGGCCATCACACCCACCCATCATAATGTCGGTATCCGAGGGGCCGGGGACAATCTCGACCTCGTCGTCCTTGTCCTCGACGACAGCCTTGGACTTGACAAGCTTGCGGGGACGCTGTTTCAAAATGTATCCGTGCTGCGTTAATAAAATGAGAAAAGATGAACAAAATAAGTATAAACATGCCTTGGCTTTAGCGGCGGCCATTACCTCTGCAATCTCAGCCTGAGCCTGAGCTTGAGCAGTAACAGGTGGTGGAACGACCTGCGCAGTGGCACGCGCGGCGAGAACGGCGCGACAATATTCTTTGATAGTGTCGAGGTCGGCTGGGGGCGCGATGGCGTGAACTCCAGTGCTGCGGGTATTGTACTCGCCTCTAACAAGGAAAAGCACGTTGTGCATTGGCTGGTGCATAAGCAGACACGGATCCTTGGTGTCGATAAGCTGAACCTAGTCAAGTGCGCAGTATTAGCCTTTGTTCGAAGAAATAGAGAATATGAAGTTTATAACAGAAAAATTCGCGACTTACACAGTAATTAGCGGCTACGCCAAGAATGGTGAGAGCGGCAGCGCTGTTCAGTCCCTCTTTCATGTCCTGATAAGTTTTGAAGGCAGTGAGAGCAGACTCGCGAAGCTTGACAGCGGCGGGAAGAGCATTTTGTGGGATAGACATAATGAGCGAGTGGTAAAATGAGAGTGCGTGGTAGAAAAGCGAAAAACTGTTCTGTCCGAAAATTTTTCGCCACTGCCTGCTTTTATATGTGTGTCTGAGACCAAGGCGTGCACGTTCCGAAATTCCGCGTTGCAATTCACTTGAAGCGTGAAAATTTGGAGTTGCACGTTCCAGCGCGATCACGTCTAAAAATAGAATAAACTTTCCGAGCCTTGGATTTCCCACGCCACGTGACCTATGAACTTAGTCATTTTGACTGAGGACAGTCAATATTTAGTGAGGGGGAGGGATCAAGGCTACCTTGATAGATAAAAAATTCGATTTCATGATTCACTAAAACCACCAAGGGGAAAAGAGTCATGAAAACGCGAACTAGAGACAATAAAACCCTAAGGCAGAATGAATTTGATAGAAAAATGCGAAATAAAGTCGAAAATTCACAAGTTCACACTCTAGAAAGCATGCAAAAAGGCTCTCACTTAGGAACAAATCTCAAAGTTCAAGAAAGACAAAGTCAAGATTCTACTATAAGGACAGCAGAATCTAACTACAAAAGATAATGACACAAAAAGGTTGATATAGAAAGTCCAAAAAACTAAGATGTCCGAATGCATGCCAAGTAAAAAAGTCCATAAAAACAAGCACACCTACTCCTCGTCAACAAGCTCATCGATAACCTCCTCCTCCTCCTCCTGAGAATGGGTGGAAGGTGGAAGACCAGGCAAAGCAACGGCGATAGAAGGAATAAGGGACAGCGAGCGGATGCGGCGTTGACAAGGTGTCAGAGATGAAGGCCCAGCAATGGGAGGAGAATCATCTTGCTGAAAAAGCGAGACGAGTCTCTCCAAATCGGCCATCATTGAACCCGCAGGCACTGGGACCCCCTGAGTATCTACAAAGTCTTGAACGAAGCTGTACCACGAGCCGAACTCCTCGCGAGTCTCGAAAACAGTGCCTAGAAGAGTTCCAGGCTCGGCGGTGAGACACAGGTCTGCGATGGCGTTTGCGAACTCTCGAAGATTGGCATCGCGATGATGGCAAATGGCCTCAAGGACCGCGGATAGGGTGCGCATATGAAGCGCGTCTTCTTCGATGGACTCCATCAGCGCAGATATAGCTAGAAAAATAAGTGAAAAGTCATTAAAAAGACTATAAAATAAATAGAAAAAGAAAAAAAATCATACCTGAAGGCGCATGAATAGCCAACCGGTTATGGATGACATCCCTGACAGCCCCTCGGTGTTCATCATTCAGATAGTACTCACACGAAGAAACATGCGCCACGTTGCAAGGACAGCAGGGAGTGCCCCACCCACGAAAGGTGCAGTTCTTGACAGCGGAATCCTTGCGCGCGGAGCACTGAAGGCAAGGTTCGGGCATCTAATAAAACAGGTATCAGTACCTATGAAAACTCAGACAAAAATGAGAGGAGGAGACATACGTGGATTTGTGTACCCTTAAGAACTGCGGGGAGCTCTTTAAGCCCAAATCTAGCAGTGGCACGTTCTAAAAGAAAATCAGCAGAGAATAAAAGAAAAGAACAGAGACTCACCATATAACTATGCAGGCGGTATAGCATAGCCATAATCTCGGCCTCAGACATAGTGTTGAGGCGGGAACACAAGAAGAGGTCAATGCCGACTTCGAACGCTTGGACGGCGGCGCAACAACCAAGGAATGCGGTAGGCATGGTGGGGAAAGTTAGAAAGAAATTGTGACAATCGCTCCCATAAAGCACGAAGTTTATAGGAACGTCAGGCGGAACATACGGAATAGCGAGGCACTTTCCAAAGAATAGTCTATGGGAGAAGATCGCTGAGAATCCCTCGGTTCCGTCGACCCTGAAAATCTTAATGGACGCCAAAAACGTTAATCAACTGAGGCGTACCTAGGCAACAATAGGAATATGATGTCATGTCTTCGAAGAATAACGCGCCTGCACTAGTAATAGTAATTGACGCCGAAAGATAAAAGACACGCTTGACAGACGGTGATCTTTTGAAGACATATCAATATAAAATCCAGAAAAACACGAGGGGAACATCCTCATACGGGGATCTAGTGATGACCGAGGACGGTCAGTATTATAGTGAGGGGGAGATGATACGGAGTGTAACAATACACCCATAAAAATGCGAATTTTAGCGATTTCTCCTATAAAACCTCCTATAGTAGAAATACAGTCACATTGATCATAAGGATCGTTAGACGCAACCCGGTCTAGTCAATTAAAGTCTACATCCGAGAAATGTGCACACCTTAGACAGTAGGAATTGTGGTCGGTTCGTGACCGAATCACCTCAATATACTCAAAGTCTAATAAAAGGCTACACTACCATGAAATAGTACGCTACCGAGTGTTCTAGAGTAAAAACACCCCCGCACAGGGTGTTGGAGTTTACACCAAACCAGGGTCTCACTTTATTATGGATTAAAAGATATTAATTCTAAAGATAAACACGCGAGCGTAGAAACTCGACGCGTACCTGATGCGAGAAGTCATTCGGTCACGTGCTACGAAGCATGATCCAAGAAGTCATGTGGAGAGACGCATCACAAATCATGGCATCATTGACCCAAGAAAACTAAGCTTCATGAAATATTCCGAAGCCTGCCAAAAGAGAAAAACTATGAACGATTTGCCGTGCGGTCCGAGGCCTGGGCATAGTATCTAATAATAGAGAGAAAAATCACTAAGCAGACCATTCGTCTCGGCTGAACCGATCGTGAAAACCGTTTACGGCGATTCCTGCGTATGCATCAATACTGATGCGTCGCATCGCCACAATAGAGAAAACACTATGAAAACTTAAAAGAAGTCAGCTCAGTTGTGCCACACACAACCGAGCCACTTCAAACCTTTACTAAAAATCAGTATTAATTCGTCCGACCTCTCGGACAATGCACGGACATGTAAATATAAATAGAAGACATAGAATAGTATAAAAAGAGGACACGCGCAGGCTAAAACGCAAGGAATTATCCCCCGCATTGACCAGCTGTCGCACTCCCAGTAGCATCTGAGGTAGTGGATAAGTTTGTAATCAATTTAAGGACTTTTCTTCGCAGACATAAGTAACGTGTGCCCGGAACCAGCGTGTTAAGTGGGGATCACAAAGCTTTTGTAAGGTTGTCTCGTCAATTAGTAAGAGAGCTCTCACCTATTACCGAGGAATCCAAGTGAGCGTGCTTGAAGAGTCTTTAAGACTAGTTTGGACCACATCAGAGGCATAATAAAAGCTCAAGGGAGTTATAAAAGTCTACAAAGCACAATTTCCTTGTCATTTCTTCATATACAGTTAGAATGTGATCCCAGAACACCGAGACAGTCCCAATAAAAGCCGTTTCCCTTCAAAGACTACTAAGTTTCAAATTCTATACTTGTGTCTGCACGTAAAAACAATACCTTTTGTTCCAAAAAAGGTCTACTAGACTTAGACAAGTGATATAAAATATATAAAATCGTTTCCCCGAACTTCTACTTAAGTTCTAACAAAACAAGTGTGGTAATTCTATTTACCGTACGAACCCGAACTCGAAGAACCGAGCACGTACCTGTGGTGATAAGTGTTAAGGTGTTTGTGTGAGTGTGTGTTGTTTAGGTGTTCACGCATCTTGTCAGCGCGTCTGATTGCACTATTCTCACTCCCGCGTGACACGGTCTTCTCACCGGTTAAACGGTCACGTGCGTTACGTAGCCTTGTAACCACGTCTATTACCTTTAATTGGGTTTTTAGTTCATCAAAAACGGTTAAGAACTGAGAAAGATATAACTAAATCCATTTTGGCACAAATACTTGTTTGTGCAACTTGTACCAGAATGACTTTAATTCTAACTCACTCAAACTTTCATCATTTTGCTTGATTCAATTTTTGGATATTGACATTTTAAGTATGAAAATATACTCACCATCTATCAATATATGGTATGCATCAAATAATTTACAGTTGTCGCATTACATTTTGCCCAAGTCTTTAGGAGATGTAATTCGGTTTCAGTCATAGCTATGTCAAACCTTCATTAAAGTTCTTAAGAATTGGTAGAATGATGGGTATTTATATGTTATACTATGATATGTAACCAGTTTATTTTTTATAGTAATAATAATTGAGATACAAATGGTTTATATTGGTATGACAAATTTTATGCAAAAAGACCGGTCTGAATCAGTTTGAACGCGGTCCATGGACCACAAAAGACCGGTCCTAGGTGGTCCGGTTCGGTTCCCTCAATATCTGGGTCGGTCCTAGACCGGTTGCGGTCTGCAGTTGCCTGTTTTCGGGGCAAAAAACCGGACTGAACTGGACCTGTGAACACTAGGTGTAGACCTCAAGAACAAGAGCTCAAACAGGCATATCGGCAAGGTGATGCTACCACTCTCAACATCTACACCGCCGGATTCAACAGGACGAACCCCTCACTGGGATACGGCTCCATGCCCTCCAAGTACTTCAAGGACCCAATCAGTGACGGTGTCATTGTCCGGTACTCCACCTTCCCTGGCGGTGAGCGCAAGAACTACAACCTCAGCCAAACGACGGTGCATGAGGTTGGACATTGGTTTGGGCTTTACCACACGTTCAAAGGGGATGGGTGTGATGGGGTTGGGGACAACATCACGGACACGGCCCCGGAAGCTTCAGGTGCAGAAGGGTGCCCTGTTGGCAGAAATACTTGCCTGGGAGGTCCACCGGATCCTATCCATATGTCGTGTTTGATTCCTCTTGGCTACTGAAAACTCTCTTATGGTCTTGACAGACAACTATATGGACTACTCTTTTGATTCATGTATGAGGGAGTTCACGAAAGGTCAAGTGGTCAGGATGCACGAAGCCATACGAGCCTTCAGATCCCCACGGAATGATACAACCATGGCATCATCTGCCTCATCCTCCACCCCCAGCGCAACCCCAACCAAAGGGTCATCACCAGCAAAGGGCACAGTCTCCCCTGTTGTCGGTCCTCCAAAATCTGGATCTGAGGCAGTGGCCAAGAAGGCTGTTATCAAGGTAACTTACACCCCTGCAGCATCGAAAGCAACCCCAGCAGTGGCAAGGAACTATAGCGCTGGATCTGTCATGCCAACACCATCAGCGCCGACACCAGTAAGCGAAGATGCGGAGTACGAGGGGGGAGCCTGAATCTTAATGTCTGAACAATTTGCTGTAACTTGCAACGATTACACTTCAATCTATGCTTTGCTCTCCAAGTCGACGCTTATTGATGAGCAGACATCTGTTATCACCACAAGTTTTATTGCGCAGCAAAGCATGGGGTAGTGGCCTCCCAAGGCTCCAACTCAACACGATGTAAGTATTGTTACAATACCACTTTGTGAAAATACAACGGAGTATTGGTGCGGAGACTCGTTCCTGCAAGTGAAATGTTACTGAACGAATTAACACAATGATTCGAGCCGCGCCCATCCATGCACAATCCACTCTCTGTCAACTGTCCCCGAAGAGACGCCTCCAAAGAGGAGCCAAAATCACCAAGAATAGTACTCGCGTCTTTGAAATCTCTACATCGATGTCATCCCAAAATCAGACGGATGAACGTAATTTCTCACCTCTGTCCGAAAAGCGTGTAGGCACCACCGAAGACGGGGTGTGGAAATTAAGGGTATCGGCAAACACGTTTTTTTGACTTTATGGTTCCACATAGATACTAGTCCCGTCAGTGCCTGCAGAGGCAAAGGTGTTGTACCTGTGAGCAGGAAATCAGGCGCGGCGCGCGCCATGATTCCGACGTATTTCCACTCGAGGTATGGCTACATACACAAATAGTACTAGAGTGAATGAAAGTCTAGTATGAGAAGGAAGTGGGTGGGAGGGTGACGAAAAACGCGTATGTTAACACTGAATAGTGGAGTAAGATATCGAGACGAGAGTCTAGATAAAAAATTGGGGATCTTACCTGGTTGAGGAGTGAGATGTCGAGACGAGAGCCTATCGGAAAGGGGCGTCTCAAGCTCACTCCTCAACCATGAGGGGTAAGATCTAAAAATAAATTGGGACCTCGTAGCGCGCATCCAAGCGTGGATCACGTGAGATGAAAGAGAAGAAAGAGCAGCGGCTCTGAGTCGTGTGTCGGCGGACACACGACTGCTGTTGTGCGCGTGCAACTAGCCTTTGGTCGGCTTCTATTGGACTTGAGTAAACACTTTGTTTAAACTCGATCAATGAGATGAGCGGAAGATTGAAAAGAAAGGTGGTGGAAAGTACGTTTGGTACATAGAAGGCGAGCGCGTTGACGGGGCCATACGTGGTCTGCGTCGTTGTTGTGGCATTCGAACGCGTATTTTTTTTTCTTATGCGGCGGGTGAAGGGTCGAAATATTATATCGCTATCCGGCCCTCTACCAACGCTATCACACAATTTAACCATGATGGAAAGGCAGTGAGAAAAATGCAGGGAAAAAAGGGAGTCAGCACCAAACAGACCTTGACCGTCAGGCGTACATGCTAACGAGACTGCTCTCCTTTTGCTGCGCGGGTACAGTGTCCAGCTTCCTGATATATCGCAGATGAGGAAAAGGTGGCTGGCCAGCGCAAGGAGAGGGTGTAGTTCGCTAGGCGAGGGTGTAGACGGGCTCTGGAGTTTCATGTGAGCTTTCTTGGTGCGATTGGGCTCGGGAATCCCAGAATCGGATAGTCCGGTAATCAATGAGGCCCCTAAAAGTAGCCGCCTGTATCGCTCAATGAGTGCTTGAGCCTCTACAAGAGCTTAGTAACAAAAACTAAACAAGAGTCGCGAC